CATGACAGCTCCAGTGTGAAGAAAGTAAAGAAGAATTTCAAGTGTTCTGATTCTTCACTCACTGTAAAGAAATGTTAAAAAAGATTTGACAAAGATCTCTGTTTCAACTGCAGAGCTGGTGATCACTATATCAGTGATTACAAGAAGTCAAAGAAGAGAAGGAACTGAGGAGACATCTTCTCAAAGTCAACTCCTCTTCTGGCAAATATATCTGCGGAAGATAAAGAAGAGAAAGAAAAGAATTGACAATTCTCACATCTCTGAGTTCATGTTACAATCACAATGCATACCTCAAATGAGAAGATATCAGTGAGGTGCCTACTTGACTCCAGGATAGATGCCAACTTTATATTCTATTTCTTTTCTTTGATGAAGAGTTGAAAGAAGATAGGTCTGTCAGACCATGTGAAATTTACAGATGAAATGAAATGCCATCATTTTGACATAATTCAAGCAAAGTGTGTGATCACAGACTCAGAAGAAATCTTCAAGAAGAGCAGTCTGCTCCTTCACACAGTTAACATCATAGATGAGAATGTCATTCTAGATCTTCTGTGATTGAGAGAAAACAATCCTCTCATTGACTGAGTCACTCAGATGTGGCAGTATCACCTCACTGATGAAGAGACAGTGATAGAGGAATCTGAAGAGTTCCATTGAAAGAATCTTGAGAAAAAGATTGAGTCAATATACTGCATAACAGGTGATTGAGACTTGAGAACAGATGGAGAAGTCATCACCCTCACTGCAAGATTAGCAGCAGTATTCATCATTGAAGGCAGATATACACAATGTCTCTTTACAGATTTTAAGAATGTCTTTTCAGAAAGGAAAGCAGCAAAGTTTCCTGACATCAAGATACAACATAAGATTCATCTTGAAGACAGTGCAACAGCACTGTACAGACTCCTTTACAACTTGTCTGTAAAGGAGTTAAATGTTCTGTACAAATATCTTGAAGAAGTGCAATCAAAGAACTGAATACATTCATCAAAGAGTCTGACAGAGGCGCCTATACTCTTTGTGCCCAAGAAGGATGATAGGCTACATCTATGCATAGACTACAGAGGCCTTAATAAGATGACAGTTAAGAATTGCTATTCATTACTGTTAATCAATGAGATGATTGATTGATTATCTGAAGCAAAGATGTTCTCAAAGATTGATATACAGGATGCCTATCATAGAATCAGAGTTAATGAAGACAATGTTTGAAAAATGGCTTTTCATACCAAGTACAGCAATTTTGAATATCTTGTTTTGCCTTTTAATCTTTATAACACTCCAGTCATCTTCCAGGTCTATATAAATGAGGCACTGCAGGGCCTTGTCAACATCTTCTGCATAGTATATCTGGACAACATTTTAATCTTCTTGAAATCAGAGAAAGAACATGATACCCATGTTTGAGAAGTGTTGAGTCACTTGAGACAGCATCAACTCTATGCAAACACTGAAAAATACTCATTCTACATGCAGGAGATTGATTTCTTAGGTTATGTTGTTGAGATGAATGGCATTTCAATGAACAGAAGCTGAGTCTCTGTCATTGAGAACTGGTCAATGCTGTGAATGTACTGTGAGATGCAGGTGTTTCTAGAATTTGTGAATTTCTACAGATGATTCATCTATGCATATTCACAGATTACTGCCCCTCTTACAGATCTGTTGAAGAGAAGTGTGAAAGACAGGAAAATGAAACTGTTTATTCTCACTCAAGGCACTGTGCAGGTGTTTGCAGAATTGAAACAAGCTTTCACAGATGTCACAATACTGAATCATTTTAACCCTGACTTATTCAGTCAGTGTGAGACTGATGCATTCAGAAATGAGATCTGTGAAATCTTTTCACAGTTGACACTGAAGGCCTTTCAATGTTGAAAGAATCAGGGGATAATCACCTCTGAAGAAACAGGCAATGAATTGCCTGTGAAAGAAGGCTTTTTCACAGAGTCTACAAGACACTGTGAATGAAGATCAGTAACCTTCTTCTTCAAGAAGTTATCACTCATGCAGAGAAGGTATGATACTCATGATCAGAAGATGTTAGCAATTATCAAATCCTTTAAGATCTGGTGACATTATCTTCAGAGTAGTAAGTACTCAGTGCAAGTCCTCACTGATCATGCAAATCTGCATTACTTCTTGACAACAAAGAGCTTGACAGAATGTCAAGTCAGATGAGCAGAGCTGCTTTCAGAGTATGATTTCTATATCTGATATCATTCAGGTCAGCTTAACCCCGCCGACACACTGTCTAGACAGCTCAATTATAATATCATTGATGCAGAGAAGGATTCTACAAAAGGACCTCTGTCATCACTGCAGAAGAAGCTGGCTGCAGGGAGTTGAGATTCTCTAAAGCTTGGAAACAGCGCTGGAGAGGCAGCTGCGCGACTCAGTATAGAAGGTGAAAGAGAACCCAGGTCCCTGCAGAGGACTGACACTGAAGATCATGAGCTTCTTATATCACATCTTACAATCATTGAATTGACAAAGAACAAAACAGTCTACAATCTTTCAATCTGACTACTTTTGAAATTCATTGATAAGTTACAGAAGAGGGACATCTCTACTGCAGCTTGAATTCAAAAGTTGAAGAAGAAAGGATTCAGTTTGAACTTGAAAGAGACAGGCCCTGAGCAGAGTGATGCTGCTAAGAAACCAAGTCACTGGTAACTAGAAGAATGTGAACTTCTACTGCTGAATGATTCAGTCTTCATCCCTCATAGCAGGGCGGTGTGCCAGGAGTTATTGAGGATTCATTATGATGATTCTCATGCAGGGCACTTCAGGTTAGAGAAGACTGAGAAGCTTCTAAAACATAAATACACTTGAGACAAGCTCTGAGCAGATGTCAAAAAGTATGTTGAAACTTGTAATGTCTGTCAAAGAATAAAGATCCCACAGCACAAGCAATACAGTGAGTTAGTATCACTGCCTGTTTCAAAGAACTCATGACAGAATCTATTGATGGATTTCATAGTTGACCTGTTGAAGTTGACAAGAGTCAAAGAATATGACTCAATTTTGGTCATTGTTGACTGCTTCACAAAGATGACCAGATATATCTCTACTTACAAAAAGATTAAAGCCTCTGAATTGGCTGACCTGTTTTTAGATATCATCATTCATGATCACAGTGCTCTGAAATCATTGATAACAGATCAAGAATCCCTCTTCATCAGCAAATACTGGTTGGCTTTTTGCTATCATCTTACAATAAGATGTCTTCTCAGTACTGCATTCTATCTGCAGACTGATGGCCAGACTGAACACCAGAATCAGACACTAGAACAGCATCTTTAAGTGTTCTGTTTATATCATCAGAATGATTGACTCAAACATCTTCTGATCACTGAATTCACATATAACAATGCAAAGAATGCAACCTTAAAGATATCTCCTTTCTATGCTTATTATGAATATAATCCTTCATTACTCAGTGACATCGCGGACAACATTTCAAAGAGAGGAATAGGCAGTCAGAATGTCAGACAGGTACAGAGAATAAAGTATTTCTCAGTGTCAGAAGTAAAAGCAAGATTGGAACTTTTGAACAAAATTCATGAGAAGATGATGAAAAGCATTCACCACACTCAGGAGCAGCAGATGAAATACTATAATTGAAAACATCTTCTGATGAAGTTCTTGATAGGGAATCAAGTACTACTTTCAGCAAAGAATATCAAGACAATGAGACTGTGTAAGAAGCTCAGTAAGCAGTGACTAGAATCTTTCCTAATAACAAGAGTGATGAGTAAGCAGGCATATGAGTTGAAATTACTCACAGGATTGAAATCAATTCATCCTGTTTTTCACATTTTCTATTTGAAGCTCTATAAGCAACATTCTGAGGCGGAGCTGCCTCAGCTGAATGACATTGAGATTGAGAATGATACTGAATATCTTGTGAAGAAAATATTAAATAAGTGAACACATTACAGCAAGCTTCAATACCTTGTTAAATAAGAAGATTATTCATTGTCAGAGAATTCATGAGAACTGCTTGAGTATTTGAAAAATGCTGAGAAAGAGATTGCAACCTATGAGACAGCTAGTAGAGACTGCCCTGTTACACATCAGAGACATTGAGCAAGAAACATCACTTGAGACTTCTCATTTTTTTCAAAGGGTTTTTTAGAGATAATCTTGCAGTGGTGAGCTGATGCCTTGTAGGCTCTGTAGCACTCTTCTTCTATTTTCTCTCAAAGGGTTTTTAGGAGTTTAATGAGACTACACAAGTGTAACATTCCTGAAGCAGTTAAAAGAAAAGAGATATTTGAAATCAATAAAAAGATTAATATTATCAACTCACAGACTGCTGCTATTCTAATGAGGCCACAGCTCACTGAAAAAGTAAAAAGAGGGACCAGAGCCTACTTATTAACAATCACATTCTCATCAAACTCATTCTTCACTGTTGAAGTCTTCAGCACTGATATCTTTGTCTGCTGAGAAGTTAGCACTGCAGCACTGTAGAGGAGCATGCTATAGAAGAGTATGAGAGATGCTGAAAGTATCAACTTATCAACTTATAAAGCATCTCAGTCATCTGCTTCAACTGAAGTGAGATTCTCTTCAATCAGCAATTGATCTCTGCAGTGCTTTCAACAGCAGTGCTGACTGATCTCTTCTTGAGGCCAGTTATTCTGAGATGTTTTTCCATCTCAGAGACCCATGCTTTCACCTTCTTTTACAGACAAACAAGGAGGATCTTCCCAGCCTTGACAGAATCTGTCAACACTTAAAGCTCTGAGACCCTTGCTCTGTACTGCTTGAGCATCTGGACTCCTTGTCAGAGCTGATATGATGTCTTCTTGTAAGATAGGTAATACTTACAGAGAGACAGAAGTCATTGTTGCAGATGCAATGAAAATAACAGAAGTGAGAGAAGAAGCAGATGTATAAAATCCCTCTCTTCTTCAGCTGCTTGACACAGCACAGACAAGTAGCAGTGCCAGTCAGAGGCTGCACCAGAGCCTCTCCACAGAGAGAAGATGAAGGAATCACAGGACCCTGCAGACTCAACCCAGCAGCATCCTGAGCAGGGCTCAGGTGTGCCGTGGGAGGGGAACTACAGATTGAGCTCCTCAGAGCCACTGTTCCCGGAACCAAGCTCTCCCCGGGTTCCTCTCCAAATGACCACACAGGGTCATATGCCACTGTATTGACTGAGGGGGGGGGCAGTGTCGCAACAGCGGTGAGAGGGGCAAGGGATGAACCAGACACAGACACATCAGCCAGCAGAAGGGATGACATCTCACTGCAGGGCACAGCAACTTCCACTGCAGCTGCAAGAGAAGCAGGAGAAGATGTGGTGATGAAAGCAGTGCTCCCACAGCTCATTGACATCACCACCTTCAACCTGGCTTTCTTGGCGGCCATGGAGGCCGCCGCTGCACCATGAAGACATTTGTTATTCACTAGAAAACATCAGAATAAGCCCTCTACTGTCCTTCAAGGATGATACTCTCATGCACTCACTATTGCAGATGAGGGGAGGGGGAGAAAAATGTGTTACAGAGAGAGAAATCTTTCAAAAAAATCCTGCCACTACTGTTAGCTTTGTCTCTAAAACACACCACTTTTGCAGGGAATTTCATACATAGAATGGAATATATTGAGAGATCTGCAAGTCACTTGTTAACTACATTTTTTCACATTTCAAATCAATATATAAGGAACTCACTTACCACATGTTTGATTTGAATGAAGGTGAGAAAAGAAAGACCTATACAGTCAGCAGAAAAACTCATCTTTGTGTTATATACAGCACACACACTGTCAATCAGTTGACAATCATTGCTATACAACAAAGATAATTTCTAATCTGATAATCTTGAGAGTATAGAGACTATGTCCTTAAAGAGAAGAGCATTGTCACACTCTCAGCTGCATCAAGGCCTCATTGCAGTTTCACACAGCTCATTGCTTTCATGCAGATGATTTCATTCATCTCATATTCTGTCTGAACCAGTTTTCAACTGCTCTATGACATCATTCAGATATATCATAGGAAGATCTGATTGATGAGTATGAGAACCTCACTTCTATACAAGGTCAGCAGATTACTCTTCCTTGACAATGAGGCATCACTGAGGTATCACTCCAGCTATTCTTGCTTGTGAAATGAGAGAAGAGTATCCACTCATTGTCTATATAGAATAGCTAGATGCTGGCTCCTCATCAAAGAAGTCAGTGATTCATTTTGCTGCTACTGAAATATACACAAGAGTTACTGCATGCCTCATACAATCTTCTTAGTATACTAAGTATCATATCTGTGATATCCTCACAATAACCCTGTAGCCTATGAGCTCGCTATTCAAGCAAGATAGTCAAGCTCACTCATACGGCTTCCCAAACAACCACCTCTACGTGTCGCCGCCGACTAGCCACTGCTTCGGTTCCGCCACGTTACAAGTGACTATATATCAGATCTTAAAATGAAATCATGACTTGAAAAAAATAAGAAAGTGATCTTATTTAGTCTCATTTAGTTTCATTCTTAGTATAAAGTTACTATTTTTAGACATTTTAAGGTTTTTTTTAGACTATTTTTAATTTTTTAAAAAGTAACACTTTTTGATAACACTTAAATAAGATTTAAAGTCATTTAAAGTAATAAAAATAATTTAAATTGAGAAGTGGAAATCATGATCTCATTTGAAAAATGTGATAAGAGTAGATAGTAAGTCTCACTGAAACAGTATGAAACTACTATCTAATGTTAAAACTGTGTAATGAGATCAGTTGAATTAATAATAAAACTAGACTGATTATGTAACTGTGTCTGAGATTAGAACCAGATTTTTTGATAGTTTCATTATCAATTTAACTGATCTCATTACACAGTTTTAACATTAGATAGTAGTCTCATACTGTCTCAGTGAGACTTACTGTCTACTCTTATCACATTTTTCAAATGAGATCATGATTTTCACTTCTCAATTTAAATTATTTTTATTACTTTAAATGACTTTAAATCTTATTTAAGTGTTATCAAAAAGTGTTACTTTTTAAAAAATTAAAAATAGTCTAAAAAAAACCTTAAAATGTCTAAAAATAGTAACTTTATACTAAGAATGAAACTAAATGAAATTAAATGAGATTACTTTCTCATTTTTTTCAAGTCATGATCTCATTTTAAAATCTGATATATAGTCACTTTGCATGTTTTTTTAATAGCCAGTCTCAGTGGAATTCACATCAAGAAATGTATGAGATCAGATCAAATGAGATTAAATGTGAAATTCATAGTCTCAGCAGTCAGTCTAAATAAGACTATCAAAAAATCTGATTCTGGTCTCAGACACGGTCACACAGTCAGTCTAGCTGATTCACTCTCAGAACTCTTAATACTCTCTCTCAGACTAGCTAATCACAGAGTATAGTGACTTCTCTCAGTGACTTCTCTTAGTAACTTCTCTCAGCAGTCTTTCTTTTTGAACTCACTTCTAGAGCTTATTCTTTCAAGAGCTAACTTCTTAAAGCACACTTCTAGAATGTCTCTTGACATTGTTAAATGTTCAGAGTATTTGTTTTGAAATTTATATTCTTAAGTTTATCCGGAGATTGAACTTATGCATGTTAATCACAAGTTCACAGTAGAGCTCACACTTAACAGTCTTATAATCTGTAGACTACTGAGGTAAAAGAGCTCAGTCATCATCAGTACTACTGATAGAAGAGTCAATTAACTCTCAGAATCTCTAACTAGACTGACTGATAGAATTATAAATTTCACATTTGATTTCATTTGATCTAGTCTCATACATTTCTTGATATGAGTCTCATCAGAATCAAGCATTAAAAAAATCTGAAAATGAATTATTTCTGAGAGAAATGATATGAAAAATGATCAGATTTAATTCAAGAACAGTGAAATAGAAGTAATTTCTCAGAATAAACAGTGAAAAATAATCATTCTTTCAAAATCAGAATAAGACTAAGACTGAAGATTAAATTCAGTCTTATTTAATTCATTCAGTGATTACTTATATAATCAGAATTTAATAATAATTATTGATAATACTTATAAAATAATTAAATATATTCTTATATAAGTTTATTCTTTACTTTCTTATAAAAACTACACTTCTCTGATATACTGTGATCAGAGATATTAAACTATCTGATAATTTTATATTTTATAATTATAAGTTTCTTAATTGTTTCTTCTTATAATTGTTTTTAGTAATAATAATAAATATCTTAGCTTGAGTTGAACTTTCACTTCATTCTTATCTCTATTAATAAAATTATTAGAATATTATATATTATCAGTATAATAATTAAATATATACTTTTAATAATTTTTTATAACTCTAGAATTGATTTCATATGTAAATTTATCAAATCATCTTAAAGATAGCAGTTAAATTCAGTTTTATAAGTATATAGTTTTATCTGATTTTCAGTTATAATTAATATATATAAGTTCTATTTCAAAGATAGTATTATAGTTCTATATAATATAGAGTATTATTAAAAATTATTACTTATTAGAGAATTATATTTCACTGTCTTTACATCTCTAAAATCTGCTTATTTAAATCTCTGATAGTTAATATTATAATAGTCTTAAATTAATTTAATATATAAGTCTCATTTCTTCTCTGTTCAATCTTAAGAAGTGTAGATATTAACTTAATAAGAGAGATTTAATAGAGCTGCTATAATATAATACTCTGTAAAAGATTGTTCAGTTTTACTATAATAATATATCAGTTTATCTCTTACAGTAATAATAGTCTATACTATAGTATTATTTCAGACTGAATTTCTTTTTAAATAATTTAACTATTTCTCAAGATAAGTAAATAAACTGTTATTGTAAGAATAAGTGCTCACAGATGATTATTCAGATGTTTGCAGCTTGGCATAATATGTACTGTTAACTACTAGAAGTATTTGTGATGAGAAGATAAAATGTAGAGATCAAATATAAAATAGCATTTAAGCTGAGTTATGAATAGTATTTGTGAACTTCAGTCTATATACTTGTGTGTAGTCAAGAGCTGCTAGCTCTATTAATTATATGAGAGATAGAAATAGAGATAAAGAATCTATAAGAAGTGAGATTTCTTACATATCTTCTTCTCTCTAAGACTTTATTCATGAAGTCTTTCACTGAGTGACTTCATAGAATCAGCTCAGCACTGTAGTAATACTCACTAAAAATTCTTCACATCTATAAAAAATCTCAGTGAGGAAAAATTTCTTGTTATTATAAAGAGAAAAGAGTCTGTTACTTAGTTTCTTATTCTGTGAGATTCTTTGTAATCTACAGATTCTTCTCTGACTATCATACAGATTCATTTCATATCTTTCATATAGAAGAGTTTCAGTTGACTCTCAATCATTTTCATAAGATTTATATATGATTATTACACAGATTTATCTTATAAATGAATCACTCTCTATGAGATTACTCTTATCAAAGAGAAGTATTCATAAGTTAATCTTTCACTCATTCTCATAAATCATTGTTCTTTAACACTGTAGAATTGTGAGAAATTTTTCATTCTTTTATTAACTCTGTAGAATTATAGAATTAAGATATTCACAGTCTGCAATCATTCTTTATAGTTATATAAAAAGATTCAGGTCTGTGATTCATAATCACTCTTTATTTACTAGAGTAATCTGACTGTTTCACAGAATCACTTACAGTGTAAGTAAATCTCTCTAGAGTAGTATAAATATCTCAGATCTGTTCATGAAATCTCATCTTCTTTTCTCTTTTTCTGTAACAGCTCTTATTCTTATAAACTATGAGTATCTTTATTCATTTGTGAAGTGTTTTCACTCAGATAACAGAGAGAGAGTGTTTCTAACAATATCTATATATTAATTCAAGAACTTCTCAAGAATAAAAAATTTTTTCAATTTCAATATCTTTGTAACAATGTCTGACTACTACTGAGCTTCTTATAAGCATCTCTGTAACTTCTCTGATTACTTTTTACTAACTGATAAAGTAGAAGTATCACTACTTATAATAGTATCTTCATTTCTCTCAGCTCTGTCACTGCATCTGATCTTTAGATCAGCAGTTAATTTCATGTCTTTCTCAGATCAGTCTCTGACTTCAAGCAGTATAGTTCTCTTCTTTACTGTAAGTCTTCTTATAAGTAATTTCTTACAGATTCTAGCTGATAGTTTTTATAAAGCTCTCAGTATTGTCAGTATCTTCTGCAGTCTTACAGATCTACAATTACTCTCTCTCTGTCTGCACAATCTCTGATCAGGCATATGTAAATATGTCTAGGTTTTCTATCAATGATTCTCATGCTGTGATGCATTTCTACAATCTCATTATTAATGAGAGATGAGTTTCTGAGTATCTGCAAAATCTGAGTAATTAAGACAATGTAAATGTCATGAATTTGTAACAGAAGTTAA